CTTTGGGATTTTTCAGTATTTATGTATAATTAATTGCATGATTATAAGCAAAAGACTTAGATCCTCTAAGCAATTGGGTTTTTAATGGAATAAAATTGGTTTTTGATAAAAAAAACTCTCTTGTTTTAAAATTAATTATTCGTTAATCAAATTCAAACTATTCTTATTGTTTGAGATTGGCGGCTAAGGGCTTCTCATGATAATAAGAATAGTGATCATGCAATGGTGCTTAAACCGTTTTTGTGAAAGAATCTTTTGATAGTCTATGCTTAGGGAAAACGAATTATTCTGCAAAATTAGTTTAGAATAGGTAGGTAGATAGTTCGTGCCAACTGAAGATATGCTATACTTTGCAAACATTCATGATTTATATTCTTAAAAATTGAATTGAATTGAATGTTAATTCTTTTAATTCAGGGTTATACATAAATAATGGAATCCCAATGTTGAGTGAATTTGCCATAGTATGAGGTTCATGGTGAAATCAAGCCCTAAGTACTTCTTTCTATGATCTCAGTTTACTTTATTTTGCTTATTTTATGTTCATGTTATTGAGTATAATCACAACAAACACAAATCTTCTCTAAATTAAAATAGAAATTAATTTTAGACTTAATAAACCACTACAGTCCCTGAGGTTCGACATCCTCAAAGTAGCCCTATCCTGCAAAGGATTCGTTATTTTGCGAGTGGTCTTTTATGGTTGAAATAAGAGTGCACATCAATTTTTTGCACCGTTGCCGAGGACTGTGTAACGGATTTTTTTGAGTTCAAGATTAATTCTACTTTAATTTGTAGTGTAGTACTCTTTTATATCTCATCTTATTTCTTTTTCTTTTCAAGTGTAGGAATCTAGAAGCAAGGACAACGAAGCTTAAGGAAAATAAGTTATGGTTTCAGGACCTTCTGTGAATCTTTGTTAATTTATTTCTATGCTTAATTTTTTTTTTTTTAATTGTTACCATTGAACTTAGTGCATGTTAGGTCGTCGTTCCTTGTCATACCCTTTACTTGAATACGACCCGGAAATTGAGAAAACATTTAAGCAAATTAGAAAACCTAAAAAGAATTCTAAATTGTTAGGAGAATCCTCTAATCCAAACATGGCTAACAATAATGGTCATAATGCATTGGGAGTTCTTGAGGAAAAATATGATTTTGAAATTAGAGGGCCGAACCTAGGAATTACCTAGGTTGCCTACATATCTTACCCAGGGCTGCAACTCGGGCAGGTTGGGCGGGCAGGAGACTTAATTCAGGCTCAGCCCATGTACAAAATATTTTGCCCAAGCCCAGCCCGAGCCCTCCTAAAGCCCAATCCAAGCCCAGCCCATAATTAACTTCTCCTGCCCAAGCCCGTCCATAAACCCACGCCTCTATATTCAGAATGTAAAAAATAAGAAATTTGTGCAGCTACAAGTACTCGAACAACATTCCTCCAAGAAAAATCCCAAACACACTACCAATTAAGTTATTATACACTTGTTAAATAATATAGTTTTAAAATAAATATACCCTTACCGGGCTCGGGCTGGACTTTGGGCTTTATATAATATCAACCCAAGCCCAACCCGAATTTAATTCGGGCTCAGAATATCTAGCCTAAGCCCAGACCTAGAACAGAAAAACACTGCCCAAGCCCTAAAAATTCCGGGCTGGGCTCGGGTAAATTCAGGCTGGCCCAGCCCGAGTTGCAGCCCTAAATTCTTACCACGAGTATGACATGACAAGAATCAGGTCTAATGTAGTTCAATTAAGTCGAACCTTCAAAAATTAGTTTATTAAAATGTGAACTTAAAAGTCACTTGAAAAAGAGTTTTGAAAATAATAGGGAATAATTTAGAAAAGAGAACTTAAGAGTCCTTGAAAATTTGCTTTAGAAAATGTGGTTTAATTTGGGAGAGAATATTTGTTAAGCATAAGAGTTATTGAAAATTTAGTTTGAAAATAGTGAACTTGAGAGTTCTTGAAAAATTGACTTGAAAAAAGTAGTTTTTATTTCTTAAAGAGGGTTGACTTTAGAGTTTAGAATTGATTTGTTTATATATGAGTCTCTGTGTTAGGTTTAACTAAGAAAAACCTAATTAAGGTGCTAATGGTTGTGAACCTATGTGTACTTTGACTGACTGGAATTGTACAAACTAGGGTTTCTTAAATGGAAAGACTTAGCATAAATGAAAACTTACCCAATTTAAGTGACTTAGCTTATATGGAAACTAGGGTTTCCTAATGGGATGACTTAGCTTATATGGAAACTAGGGTTTCCTAATGGGATGACTTAGCTTATATGGAAACTAGGGTTTAAATGGAAACTTACCCGATTTGAATGACCTAACTTATATGGAAACTAGGGTTTCCTAATGGGATTACTTAATTTAAATGAAAACTTACCTGATTTGAATGACCTAGCTTATATGAAAACTATGGTTGTTTCTTAATAGGATAACGTAGCTTAAATGAGGACTTGTCCAATTTTAGTGACTTAGCTTATATGGAAACTAGGGTTTAAATGGAAAGTAGCTTCCTTTTCTTAAAAAATAACATTTTGGAAACTTGTGTTTGGAATAAGATAATTTGAACTTCTATTTTAAAAATAAGATTATGACCTTTTTTATAAAAGAGTAATGATAGGCAACGCGAAAGAGTAAATGCGAAAACTGGAATAAAAAATTTTGACTTTTAAGAAAATCAATAGACTAATGATAGGGAACGCGAAAACTCCTCGAATCTAATTTGGCTAAGCCACGTCAGGATTAAAAAAGAAAGAGTCCCTCATATAAATGAAAAAAAAAAGGACAAAAAAAAATGTGCTTTCTATATCTCCTCAGGTAACTAAAAACCTCCAAATTTGGGTACTTTTTCTTTCCTTTTTTTTTCCTTTTCATTCAGGATAATGCTTAGGTCCTCATTAGTAAGGATTTACAATATACTTACCGCAGATGTGGACCAATAATAAATAAACACGTCCTATTTTAATTACCAAATCATAGATGGTAATCAAATCACTATCTCTGATTTGGTAAGTGAATATTTACCACCATATTTAATTTGATAATTAAAGATCACACATGTTGTAAATCCTCGCTAGTGAGATTCTTAAGTATTGTCCTTTCATTTATACGAGAGGACTTTTTATTTTATTTTAATTATGACATGGCTTAGCCAAATTAGATTCGTGGAGTTTTTGAATGGGTTAGTCTGGTTTGCACAGAACAAGACAAAGTACCCACATCGGATTCTGATAGGAAGTGAAATGGGTGTAGGGATGGCAATTTGACCCGCCCCGCCCAGCTTCATTTTTAGCGGTTTTGGGGGACCGTTTAACTTATTTGGGCGGGGATGATTTGACGTAATAAAAACCCGCACGGGTTTGGTGCGGGGGCGGGGGAAGGTCGCCCCGCATCGCCCCACCCCGTTTAGATAGGCAAATTGCTCGAGTACTTTTGTTTCATTAGTATATATACTTCCCGGTATATATATTAAGTACCCTATATAACAATATTAAAGTAACAAATGAATTTGATTAGAATGAAAGTTACAATGATGAAGAACTGAAAAAAAAAAAAAAAAACAAATCTATTTCAACAATAAATAAATTATGGTTTTAAACGGGCGGGGCGGGTACCCGCAGGGGTAAAAATGTTAAACGGTTGCGAGGATGGGGTAGAAAGTCTCCTTGTTTTTGAGGTTTTGGGCGGGGATGGGAGTAGGGTTTTTAAACCGTTGAGGGGGGCGGGGGAGGGTACACCCGCCCAAACCCGCCATTGTTGCCATCCCTAAATGGGTGTGTATGCAGCATTACCCAATAACTTAAGAGCTCGTTTGGGGTTGCTGTTGGAATAAAAAAATGCTTTTATCAACAGAGGTGTTAAAAATTTCGGTCTGTAAAAGAGGCATGTTAGGTGTTTGGTGACACATTATAAAAAATACTTATGATAATTTAATCATTTTTCAATTTATTTTGTAACAATATTTTTTAAAACATTTCTCTTGCTAATTTTACAATAATATCCTTTAATAGTATGATACCATATTTCATAATAGCAACTTTATCAAGGAATAAATATAATTATCTTTATAAAAAAATAAAAGGATATAATTGACTAATGAAAAAGAGTTACCTAAAATATTCAACATCTACTCTGAACACAGTTTAAAAAGTTATAAATTATAACTTAATTCAAACGCTCTACTTAACTAAATTTGGTATCTAAACGCAATTTTTTAAAATAAAAATGCTTTTAAGCTGTAGAGAAGTAGGGCTCTAAGTTTTTTGATAAATGGGCAAGCGCCCATTCGTTATCGTTGGTATTAAAGTCAGATCCAATCCTTGATCCATGGCAGTTGACAAAGTAATCATTGATTATAATTTCCAGTATGAATACTGCCTCCAACATGAAACTTGTGATTGGTAGTAAAACACTGAATCTCCTGGTGAGACCTAATTATATCTTCATCGATTTCTTGAGATATTTTCTTACAAAGTTTTGTTAAACCATCTATAACTGTTTTCGGTTTTGGTGGACGGACGATTTTAAAGCAGACTCTCCGTTCATTAGATAAACAAGATCACCAAGATTTCGTGATCCGCTGCCGAACTTAATCTAATTCCAATAGCTCGGATTGAATCGGTATATCAATACCGATTTGATTCGAGCTCTCTTATCGAATTGCTCATTCAATGAACATTCTCAATATTATGCCTTGAAGAGGACTCGAACTTCCATGCTCTTTAGCATAAGATTTTGAATCTTGCGTGTCTACCATTTCGCCACCAAGGCATCTGACCCAAACGTCTGGTTTGGAAGGTGTCCGGGTCTTCACCTCGGGTGGCCCCAATTGCAATAAAGGCGTTGCAAGTTCACGTGACGAAGAATGTTACAAAAAAATATTTATACATTCAATTTGAATAAAAAGTGAAAGAAATACAAATAAATAAATTTATAACATTTCCTAATAGCTTAAACTTTTAAATAACCAACAAATATGCAACCAACCATCTATCACACCAATCTACTACCATCAAACACTATCACAATAACTGAACTGTCTCTGTATGTCCTCATTCTCGATTCTCTCTCCTCTCATCCTACGGAAACTTCTTGGTTCCTTCCTCCGCAAATGTATAAATTACAATATATAAACACACAGAGAGAGAAGGGCAGAAAGAGAAGGAGGGATGGTAATTGTGGAGCCGAACACGTGCATTCGAGGTTGCTGCCGCAGCGAATCGATTCCTCTTCATCTCCCACCTTCTTCTTACTCTCTCTCATCCCCAATCGCTCGAGGTATTATGTTCCATTACTCTAATTAATGCAATTCCTTCCTACTACACAAATTAATTAAAACGTTGGGATGAAATTCATTCATTAACCCTTCATTTTTACGCCTTGCTTTCATTCTCTTTTGTTCTTTTTTATAATTATAATTATAATTGGTGTGTGCGGGTGTATGCTTTTTTTTTATTTTTTATTTACAGGGGCAGAAAGTGTTGTTTATGAAGCGACTTTGGATGGGAAAAAGGTTGCTGTGAAAAAACCCATTCTGTCCACCTCTGAAGACATTGATAGATTCCACAAGGAATTGCAATTATTATGGTCAGTCAGCTCTCTCTCTCTATACGTATAGTGCATGTATATATATATATATATTTATGGTTAGTTTTGTACTTTTGACTGTGGTGCTTCTTTAGCTCATGAGTTTTGACCTTTTGCTTTGTCTACTAATGTGACAATGAAGCAATCTAGATCATCCTGGAATAGCCACACTAGTGGCCGCACATGCAAAGCCGCCAAATTACATGTTTTTCTTTAAGTTCTATGAATCTGGCAACCTAGCGGAGAAGCTACATGTTCAAGAGTGGAGGGCCAGTATCGATCAGTCACTCACCATCATTGTCCAGCTTGGTACCACTTTAATGATCTTGTTTATGCTTAGTTTCCTACTATTAACATTTGATTGCTTGGAATATGTTCCACCTCTTTGTATTTTCTTAGTTACATTATGCGTTAAAACACTTCTTATTTTCATAAATAAAAATAATATGCATACTATTCAACAAATTTATGAAATAAATAATATATACTATAATATTGGCAGAACAATCCATTGCTTCTATCTATGTTAGGAAATTCATGCAATGGCTCTCAAAGATGGATGCATATTGCTGCACTAATTATATATATATATATATATATATATATGAATGATGTGTTGATGAATACTACCTGGAGACTATTTTTTATTGTTTTCATAGTTGGTACTCACACACACATGCCTCTACTGAGGCTTGAACCCTTGACCTTCCTTTGAGAAGTAAGGGTTTGATACCTACAAACTATTTCATGTTTGAGCTTCCACCTATGCTATTGTTAACTTAGATAATATCCTTTAATGTGTTGGTTTCCACTGGGGCTGCTCATGCTCTGCAAATTTCAATTTTTAGGATTTTTGGATGTTTCCAGCCCTCCTTCATTCTCCTGGTTCCTAGTTCTGCTATCACTTTCTTTGGCTGTTTGGCCTTTTGGTTTTCTTTTGCTTTTATCCTCCAAGCCAAAATTAAATAAAAAACAAGAGTAAAAAAATCAAAAATCAAAAAACAAAAACAAAAGTGTAACCCAAAACGAAAGTGCTTTCTATTAAACAAAATCCCTTTAAGGCATTATATAGATAGTATTCCAAAGAAAAACAAAAATGCTTGTTTGAGTTTTGTTTAACACTGCTAAAAGCGCTATATATCTGTTTGATGTATCTTCTTGTGGTTCCTTGAAATGGTTAAAATGTTGCATTTAATGCCCCATATCATGTGATAAAAAATACCATTTATTTTGCGGTTATATTCGTTGTCAGGGGCTTATTTGTTATTACTTATATAATGTTTGGGCTTATTTGTAATTTCTGAAACTTGCTAGTATAAATAGAATGTGGCAGAAGGATGAAATGATTATTTTCATTCTTTCTTTATTTCCCCAATATCTTTCTCTTTTTCTCTCATCCTCTTTCTTCTCTTTTCCTTCTTTTTCTTATACTTTGTTTACTTACTCTGATTTGATTATCTCTTAAAGTCAACATGGTATCAGAGAATGGTTTGTAAAGCTCTAGATGTGTAGTTGAAACCTTAGGACAAGTTTGTGTAAACCCTAGTGGGTGTGAAAGGTTTTGAAGAGATTCCAAGATGGGATTTGTTTGCAAGGAAGTAGTGTTAATCATTTTTTTTTTGACCTGTTTTTGATTTATTGTAGTCTCGATTGTTTTTTTTTTTATATTTTTTTATTTTTTTTTCGTGTTCACGTGTTCTGCAACGACATCTTTTTTTTTTTTTGTGGTTAGCGATTCTGGTATGGTCTACTTTGTTGCTTTCTTGGGTTTATGTGGTGATTGTGTGGTTGCTTTTTCATGCATCTTAGAAGACAATAATCTTTCTAGTTGAAGTTTGCGTGTTAAAGAGGTGGTTCTTTACGTATTTTGTTGTTGCTTTTGTTTTTGAGGATTGTATACCCAGAAACTGTTTGATAAAATGTCTGGCTCAGAGGTGACTTCAAAAGAAGCTGGGTCTTCTCCTAGTCTGACTCCAGTATTGGGAAGTAGTAGTGATCACCATCCAGGCCTTTGTTAATGACTTTTAGGCTGGATGAGACGAACTCTATAAAGTGGGCTCAGTATGTGCTCGTATGCATATCACTGGTCGTAGGATGATCGACCATATTGAAGGGACTGTCACGTATCCCTCTAAGAGTGATCCTGAATTCAAAGAGTGGAGTGCAAATAATGCACTAGTTATGACGTGGTTGTTGCAATCAATGCAACCACGGATCAACGAAGGGTTTCTGTTTGTGAAAACAACTAAAGAGCTACGGACGGCTGTGGAAGAGACGTATTTCTCGGTTAGAAATTTTGCAAAACTGTATGAATTCCAATAACAGATTTCAAGATTCAAGCAGGAAGACCAAACTCTTACTACATTTTACCACATTCTACGTGGTAAATAAGAAAAGTTAGATCACTACCAAGACTACATACCTATGTGTGTAGTTGATGTTAAAGCATTTTGTGCTATGGTAGAAAGGAATCGAATCTATGAGTTCTTGCGTGGTTTGCATCCTAGATACGAGCATGCCATGGTATAAGTGTTAGGCAGGTTTCTAGCCCCTACTTTTGTTAGAGATGTGTTTTCATATATCCAGGCTGAGGAGAGTAGAATGAAGGCTATGTTTGCACCTGTATACACTAAGCCTGAGCTAGAAGTACCATTGTCTTAGAGGTCTGCTCTTGCCACACAACAATGGAACAAACCTAATCCTCGAAAAGGAGGGAAACAGGATGACAAGAGCAAGTTGAGGTGTGATCACTGTGGGAGTACGCGCCACACTAGGCAAACATGCTGGAATCTACACGGTCGCCCTAGCTCTTGCTCATGCGGATGCTAAGCCAAGGCCTGGTCATTTAGGGGGTTATCTACGGCACATAATGCAGAGCATGAGACTTCGTCTACTAGCCATGCCTCCTCAGGGCCACCGAGTTCTTTGTTCGAGGCTGATCTTGATGCTCTTCGACATCTACTAACTCAAAATGCCTCCATTTCCACTTCTAACTTCGCTTTGGCACATAAGGTTTCCACATTATCTGGTGGGCCACCCTTTATCATTCATTCAAGAACCACTGATCACATGACTGGTATGGCATCTAATTTTTCTTCGTACAGTTTATGTTCTGGTAAGGATAAAGTTAGAGTAGCTGATGGCACTTTCACCTCCATTGCGGGGAAGAGCACTGTTTTTGCCTCTCCTAATTTTACCTTATCCTCTATTCTTCATGTCCCAAAGTTTACCAACAATCTCCTTTCTGTCAGTCACATTACCAAAGGCTTGAATTGTAGTGTAACCTTTTTTCCATCTCACTGTATGTTTCAGGACTTGGATACTGATGTGTGTCAAAATATACCACTTGCAATAGCACGGATCTTTGTAGAATAGAGCTATATTAAGGATGTCGAACCCACAGAGAGACGAGTGTTTACTTAAGCGTCCAATTAATCTGATTTTGATTCAGAGAGATAAGATTGTTTGTCACGAATATAAAATAAAATAAAATAAATTAAAGTAAAGAGATCAGAGAGAGAGAGTCTTAGGGATTGACTTCACCACGAACTTCGTATTATGGTCAACCATTCAACTTTGGGATTTCAACAATTTATGTATTATATGAATTAAACTCAATAACATTCATTTAATTCGGTTTTAAAGAAAGATGTTTCATGAATTTCAACTAATAATAACTTATATTCGGTTAGCATGAACTATCCACCTACCAACTTCTAACTAATTTTGTAGTATAACTCGTCTTCCCTAGGCATAGCCTATGAAAATATTCATTCATGAAAAACATTGGAACACCATTGCATGATCTCTATTCTTAACGTTGAGAAGCCCTTATGCCGTCATCTCGTACAATAAGAATAGGTTGAGAACAATTAAAGAATAATTAAATCTAAGACAATATTTTAATCATTCAAAAACCATTATTTCATAAAACACCAATTGATGTGACTCAATCGCTCATAATCATGCAATCAAAATACATAAACTATTGAATTTCCAAAGTTAGAACAATCAAACCATAATACTCAGATCGGGTTACATCAATGCCCTAAAAGAGGAATTAACTACTCATGACGACGCAATATATCATCTGTGTTGTTGTGGTTTTCATCATCAGGGACTGCACTTCTTTTCATCGGATCTTCACTTTCAATAACTACAGAAACCCTAAAAGTCGCCACTAGATCTGAACAGAAAACTGAGATAAAAATTGAATGAATCAAGAGAGAGTTTTTCTGTGGCCTTGTGCCTCCTTTTATAGAAGAATTAACTTCTAATAAAGTGTGGATGGGCTTTAGGTCTTCTGGGGTCATCTGGCCTGTCTAGGATGAAATATGACATAATTAGAACAAATCCCGCAACTTAAAGTTCTGTATTTATCATCAATGGCTCGAACCTAGAAGCTTCGGCTCGAGCTATTTAGTCAATGGCTCGAGCTATTTGGAAGGGTGCTCGAGCCCTAACTTCTATACTTAGCCAAATTTCTTCAAATCTTTTCCGAAGCGTTTTTTTCATCAACACTTAGAATATTTTTGGGATTCTTCTTTAACAGTGCTCAATCCCTCCTTAATGGTGCTCGAGCCTCGAGTCTCTGGCTCGAGCTTTTTGGCAAAGGCTCGAGCTTTTTGACTTTGGCTCGAGCTCTTTGGTTTTGGCTCGAGGTCCTGGTAATATGGAATTTCCGAAGCGTCTTTTCATATTCTGAGGCACATTCTGCTCGAGCTTTTTGGCAAAGGCTCGAGCACTTGAGTTTCGGCTCGAGCTTAGAGATCTCAGCTCGAGCTATTTTGCCTTAGTGGATTTCTTAGCTTATTCGTTTTGTGCTCGAGGCAAGGGACTTAGGCTCGAGTTGTGACACTTGAATTCTTCCAAATTTCACCATTTTGACTCCAAGCTTGCTTTAGATGATCGGCAACGACATTGTAAGCTTCGATATCAGTCTTTTCATCTTAAAGTCCCGGTTTTAACCGTTTCTTTGGGAAAGTACCTACAAATACGAAATAAACACAAATTAGTCTAACAATGGATAGAAGTATCACTTTAAGTCCTAACCTACGTATATTTAGGGGCTCGAATATGCAATATTTAATGCTTATCAGATACGGGGAAGACGATTGGAAGCGGACGTGAGGACAATGGCTTGTATTTGCTAAACGCGAGGCCAATTTCTTATTATGTTGCAAATCAATCTAGTGTTAGGAATAGTATTGTCAATAAAGATCTGTTAATGCGATGGCATAATAGACTGGATCATTTACCTCTTCCTATTTTGAAGCACGTGCTTCCCCATTTTGCTTCTGTTGAATCTT